GGACTCCGGGACTCCAAAGGGCCTGGGACTAACTCCCCGGGCAACACGGCCGGGCGAGACGTCCGAGGGCGACGTGCCTAGCTGAGAACACACCACACACGCCAAGGACCCCGTGGCCTACCAACCACGCGCTGCCACACGGCATGCTCAGGGCCTAGATGAAAGAGAGGGGGGGGTGGCCGCACACAGGCGCGCCCGTACGGGCGCAAGGCAGCCCGAGCCCCGACGTGGGGAAGCCGTGGCGCAAAGCCACGTGGATTAGCACCCAAATAAGGGAACAGGAAGGGCAGAACACAGCCCAGCCGTGCGCTCCACGGAGCGCCGTGCCACGTGGCAGCACGACCAGGCGTGTGCCCCGTAGCAGGCCCGGGCGAAGGGCCGGAACCTGGCCACGCGTCGTCGCCAGCGGCGACGCTTGTCCGCACAGGGAGACCCGACCCCTGGGGACAGCCCAGGGAACCCGGCAGACCGGCAACAGGGAACACCCGAGGGAAAAACAGGAAAGTCGCAGAAGCACGCCCTGCCGGCCAGGCACGTGACGACCCGGCAAGGCATGGGCCCCAAGGCGGGGCCCGCCATAGGGCCGCCCACGCCTGGCCACGTGTCGCCGCCGCCAAGAACATGCGCCCCGGGCGTAGGACCGAACCTGGCCACAAGCCGTCGCCGACGGCGACACATGTCCTCGGATAAGGAGAAACCTGGCCCCCTGGGACAGCCCAGGGAACCCGGCGGGCCGGCAACAGGGAGACCCGAAGGAAAGGCGGGAAGGACGCCGCAGCACGCCCAGACGACCAGACACGTGGTCGATGGCGGCGAGGCATGGGCCCCAAGGCAGAGCACGAAGGGCGTAGGGCCCACCACGCCTGGCCACATGGCGACGCCGGCAAGGGCACGCCTGGCCTCCGACGGGGCCCCGGGCAGGGCGCGCGCCTGGGCACGCCACGCTGCGGGGCCCCGGGCAGGGCGCGCGCCTGGGCACGCCACGCTGCGGGGCCCCGGGCAGGGTGCGCGCCTGGGCACGCCACGCTGCGGGGCCCCCTGGACACGTACGGGCACGGCTGGACGGTGCCCCACCTGAGAGGAGACCGAACGCAGGCCACTAGGGACGCGGCCCGGCGCACGCCAACCCTAAGCCAGCCACGCGACCTGCATGGCACGGGGGCGCCCGACACGGGGCCAAGAAGGGCGCCCCAGCTCTCCCGGGAACTAACAGCAGAGAGCCCGAAGGACTAACTAAGGCGGCACACACGTACCGCGAGGGGATGGTGCTTGGCACACGCTGCACTGGGGAGGTCCTGACTAGAATTGAACAGAAAACCTCACCTTGGGGTTAAAAGTGTAGGGCAGGAGGCCCCTGCCGGATCGGTCTGGGGTGTCGAGGGCCCCATGATGTCCGTGAGAGAGAGGTCAGGTACCGAGGCAGCTGGCGTGATGTCCATCTCGTGCGAAGTCGGGCGGCCGGGGAGTGGTTGCGAGGGCAGCGGCGAGGGCAGGCGGAGTGAGGGGGAAGGGGTGGGCATTTGCGCCGCGGGAAGCGCTGCGCAAATGTTTCTTTCTCCCCCATCAGAAACATCCCCGCTTGCGAAGCAGTGGCCATTTACTCCAGTCCTGACCCCCTTGCTCTAAATGCCACAGTAAATACTGAGCTAGAGAAAGTCCATCTTTGGCTAACTGCCAACAAACTCACCCTTAACATTGACAAAACGTTTTATATTCTGTTTGGCAATAAATCCTCTAATCAGATAAATCTCAAAATAAACAATACCCAAATTTGTAACAAATTAGATGGCAAATTCCTTGGCGTTCTCATCGACCACAAGCTGAATTTCCAGGGACACATTCTAAATATATCAAAAAAAGTTTCAAAAACTGTTGGCATTCTTTCTAAGATCAGATATTATGTACCCCGCCCTGCCCTGGTTACTCTCTATTACTCCCTCATCTATCCATACCTCAACTATGGTATTTGTGCTTGGGGTTCTACTACCCAAAATCATTTACGTCCTCTAATTACCCAACACAAAGCTGCTATTAGGACAATATCCAACTCTGGCCCCAGACATCACTCGGTACCCTTACTCAAATCTCTGAATATGTTAGATATTAAGTCACTGCACATTCTCTCTTGTGTATTATACATATATAAAACGCTGAACTGTAATGCCAATCCTGACCTCAAAAGCTTCATTGAAGTTTGTAACAGAACCCATGAGCACCACACCAGAAATAAATACAGTTTTGATATTCCTAGAGTACGACTTAATCAAACTAGAAATGCTCTACAAATCAAGGGACCCAGAATGTGGAATGACCTTCCCAACCATGTTAAAGACTGTACCTCTCTCAACCAGTTTAAGATAAAAACTAAACACTACCTAATAAATTCCCTGTAACCTACCTCACTCCTCTATTGTCAACCCATGTCTGTTATTTTTTTTAATCAACACTGTTTGTCGACCTATTGTATTTGTGCTGCTTTTTCAGTCATATGTTCCCCCTTTTTTTTATCTTTATTTGTATTTGTTCTCAACACTTTTTATTCCTTATGCTCAATTAGTATTAAGTTCTAGATATTAATGTTTTTCTTGCCCGAAACGCATTGCGTAATAGTGGCTTTAGGCATTGTATGTACTAGCTCTATCTATATATCAATCCATTAATGTAACATCACTTGTATGTATGTACCTTACCTGAATAAACATATTTATTTATTTATTTATTTATATAATCATCTTGACAGTCTCTACTGATTTTTTTGTTACAAATAAATAAATAAATAAATAAATAAATAAATGTTTATTTAGGTAAGGTACATACATACAAGAAATTTTTACAAAGATTGGTGGACTTACAGGTAGAGCTAGTACATACAATGCCTATAGCCACTATTACGCAAAGCGTTTCGGGCATGAAAAACTTAATCTAACTTATCTTAATCTTAATCTTATCTTAACTTAATCTTAATCTTTGGTGTTCTCTCGACCATACTTGTGTATCCTCCATGGCTATCTAGGTCTTTATTCTACCTCTAATTGTTTCAATTCTTTTGTTTACTTGCATTTATTGTTGTGTTTTACCATAATTATTCCCTAACTTTAGCAGACTTAATACTTTGTAAGCTCTTATTGTATTGTTATATTATTGTATTGTTGTGTTTTGCTATAATTACTTTCTATTTTACAGCAGATTTAGTATTTATCTGTTCCTGTAATTGCTTATCTTATTGTATCGTGACATTATTTTATCTGGAGATAAAATTACATTATTTTTATACAGGAGAATTCGTTTAAAACTAGATAGCTGCTCCCGCAAGTCTGATCTTATCTCATCTGCAGTCGCTAGTATATCCACTGTTTATGCGAATGAATGTCTAACCAGGTTCAGGCAAAATCTCTTTTTAAAAATGCGTGGTTTCTGCAAAAATTCCCCTACAATTAAACACTGTTTTGTGCGATATGGTAAAATTATAGCTAGGAGGACTGACACTGGTTAGTTTAGTTCATTTATTATGCACCCCATACCCATCTTGTGGGCGGTAGTGGAAAGGGTTACAGAGGCACATAATGGGCTCAGGGACTGAACCCCACAATTCATTTAGCTAAGCAAGTTACAATCTTGATGAGCTAGTTACAAAATTCAGTATAAGTCGTCACATCAACAATGGGTTCGAGATCAACCACAAGTACAGGTTCTAAATTAAGCAACTGACTTATGTGGAGAGTTAGTGTCAAAATTTATATGTTTGTCCTGCACACCGCCCCCCATCCAGTGGGCAGCGGTGGATAGGTTACAATCACTCTTAGTTACTACCTACAGTTAGCAAACTGGGGATATTTGGCTAAAATTCCTGGTAGCAGATCATTTTGAATGAAATATTGACACATCGCTGGAACATTGGTTATAGAATTGTCTCTAAATTCACGTATCTTTTCGCACTCCATCACATAGTGACGGAGGGTGTGCGAATAATTTTGTTGACACAGTTTACATTTGGTCAGGTCTACATCGGCAGATAATGAGAATTCCCAGAGATACTTGTAACCGAGTCTAAGCCGAGCAGTAGTAACATCTAGAAGTCTGCTGATTTTATTGGATGATCCATAGATGTGTGGCTCCTCTTGCATGATAGTATGATGATAGATGGAATTACTGGTGTCAATTTCACTTTGCCTCAGATCTACAAGATCTTGTTGACTTATCAGCTCTATCATGCATTCGGAGACCAACATGAGATGGAGATCACATGAAATGGACTCTGTTACCATCCTTAATAATTTTGTTGTATTTGTGTCTAGCTTCGGACACGAGCATGTTACAGTTATGTCTTAAAGAGTTGAGAGCATTTAAGGATGATAAGGAGTCACTTACAATTAATGTATCAAGTTTGGAGACTTGTACATATTTCAGTGCAAGGATCAAGGCAAATAGTTCGGTCTGAAGGGTAGAGGCCCAGTTGTTTATACGGATTCCCTACTCAAAGTACAAGCCATCGCCCATTGTCAGAACAACTGCACTTCCAGCTGCACTCGTGGTGCGGTGTAGTGAACCATCAGTGCACTTTAAGCTCAATTACTATTAAGTTTTAGTCTAAGTGTTTTTTCACCACCTCTCCTTGCCCGAAACGCTATGCGTACTAGTGGCTTTAGGTATTGTATGTACTACCTCTATCTTTAAATCTAACAGAATGTTTGTACTGTAACGCTGCAACTATGTATGTACTGTTCCTAAAAAAATTATTATTATTATTATTATTATTATTATATAAGTTTTAGTCTTAATGTTTTTCCTGCCCGAAACGCTTTGCGTAATAGTGGCTTTAGGCATTGTATGTACTAGCTCTATCTATAAATCCATCAACATTTTGTATCTTACCTTGTATGTATGTACTTTATCTGAATAAATATTTGTATTTGTATTTGTACTGTGCGAGCTTTGAACCAAAGAAAACGATTGTTCGGAGAGATTGCCAAGCGTTCGAATTATCACAACTGCATGAATTGTGCTTTAGTTGCCCCTAACCCTCTACATCAACAAAACCCTGCTGACCATTGTTACGAAGCTACATCTCGGGAATTGAAGAGTAAACAGCCAGGTATATGACGAGTCGCTATATTTCTATTTCACTTTTGACAATTAGACAACAATAGTGAACATAAGGGCCCTGTAGTGCAGTTGGGATTGTTCTTGAATCGCAATAGGGGATCCAGTGTTCGGTCCTCAGTTGGGACACAAATGGTTCGGCACATTTCCTTCATCATAAATAAATAATAAATAAATAAATAAATGTTTATTCGGGTTCAAAGTTCAAGTAAGTTTATTGAGACAAGAACAAAAAAGTACATCTTTAGGTTATTTCTACCCCCCCAAGTTTATTCAGGTAAAGTACATACATACGAGAGGTTTTACAAAAATTGATAGATTTATAGATAGAGCTAGTACATACGATGCCTAAAGCCACTATTATGCAAAGCGTTTCAGGCAGGAAAAACATTAAAGACTAAAACTTAATACTAATTGAGATTAGAGTATAACATGTGTTGAGAACAATTAAAAATAAAAATAAAAAAGGGGGGAACATGGCAGAAAAAAGCAGCACAAATACAATTAGGTTGACAAACAACCTTGTTTAAAAAACAGACATGGGTTGACAATATAGGGGTAAGGTAGGTAACAGGGAATTTATTAGGTACTGCTTAGTTTTTATCTTAAACTGGTTGAGAGAGGTACAGTCTTTTAACATGATTGGGAAGGTCATACCACATTCTGGGTCCCTTGATTTGTAGAGCATTTCTAGTTTGATTAAGTCGTACTTTTGGAATATGAAAACTGTATTTGTAGTTCTGGTGTGGTGCTCATGGGTTCTGCTACAACCTTCAGTGAAGCTTTTGAGGTCAGGATTGGCTTTACAGTTCAGCGTTTTATATATGTATAATACACAAGAGAGAATGTGCAGTGACTTAATATCTAACATATTCAGAGATTTGAGTAGGGGTACCGAGTGATGTCTGGGGCCAGAGTTGGATATTGACCTAATAGCAGCTTTGTGTTGAGTAATTAGAGGATGTAAATGATTTTGGGTAGTAGAACCCCATGAACAAATACCATAGTTGAGATATGGATAGATGAGGGAGTAATAGAGTGTCACCAGGGCAGGGCGTGGTACATAATATCTGATCTTAGAAAGAATGTCAACAATTTTTTAAACTTTTTTTGATATAGTTAGTATGTGTCCCTGGAAATTCAGTTTGTGGTCAATGAGAATGCCAAGGAATTTGCCATCTATTTTGTTACAAATTTGGGTATTGTTTATCCTGAGATTTATTGGATTAGAGGATTTATTGCCAAACAGAATATAGAAAGTATTGTCAATGTTAAGGGTGAGTTTGTTGGCAGTTAGCCAAAGATGGACTTTATTTAGCTCAGTATTCACTGTGGCATTTAGAGCAAGGGGGTCAGGACTGGAGTAAATGAAAGTTGTGTCGTCAGTAAATAGAATTGGTTTGAGGTGTTGGGAGGCATTTGGAAGGTCATTAATGTAGATGAGAAAGAGGAGAGAGCCAATTATGCTGCTCTGAGGAACACCGATGTTGATGGGTAGGGTGGGAGAAATTGTATTATTTAGAGAAACATACTGGAGCCTGTCAGTAAGGTAAGATTTGAGGTATTGCAGGGAGTGTCCTCTGACTCCATAATGATGTAATTTAAGAAGGTTTTGGTGGTTGACAGTGTCAAAAACCTTACGCAGGTCCACAAATAACCCAACAGGGAACTCATTTTTATCAAGAGCTGCATGAATCAAGTTAATCATACTAATAAGTGCATCGTTAGTGCTTTTTTTGGGTTTGAAGCCATATTGACAAGAGCTAAGTATATTGTGTTTGGCAAGATAAGAGTAAAGCTGCTTGTTTATTAGTTTTTTAGTTTAGTTTTTAATTTAATTTAGTTTAAATTAAGTTTTTCAAATATTTTTGACAAGTTAGGCAGGATTGATATAGGTCTGTAGTTGTTAACATCTGTGAGATCACCACATTTGTGGACAGGGGTTACTCTCGCTTTTTTTTTAGAATATCTGGAAAGGTTTGGAGTTCAAGTGACTTGTTGAAGAGCAATGCAATAGCAGGGGGCTAAAGATCTGGAGGCTTTTTTGTAAATTAAAATTAGTATCTCCTCAGCACTTGACTTGGTTTTAAGGGAAAGGATTATCTCATTAACATCAGTGGAATTTGTAGGCTTTAGGTACAGAGACTGTGGATAGTTACCTATAAGATAGTCTTTAACATCAGTACTGGAAGATGGAATGTCATTTGCAAGGGATGACCCAATGGAAGAGAAGAACCTATTGAACTCAATAGCAGAATCAGAGGTTGAAAGCTGACCATCGTTATTGGACAGGAGTGTTGGTTTGTTATTTAAAATCTTTGATCCCAATATTTGTGAAAATGTGCTCCAAGTTTTTTAATGTTGCTCTTTATTTGGGTAAATTTATCTTCGTAGTATTTAGTTTTGGCTCGTCTAATTATTTTAGATAGCAATAAAGAGTAATTCTTTGAGAATTCTTTGGAGACGGTTCCTAACCTATACTTCTTCTGAAGGTCATGTTTTTTTTATTAATGGATTTAAGTATTCCCTTTGTAAGCCAAGGATTGTTTAGCCTTTTGGTTGTGACTTGTTTTGTTAGCATAGGACAGTGGGTGTTATAAAGGCTGAGAGTTTTTTGAAGAAAAGATTGCACTGCTAGGTTGATGTTCCCTATGTTACCTAACTCAGACTCCCAGTTGACATTAGCAGCAGCAGTTATAAAATTGCTTATAGCAGTTTCATTGTGCAGCCTAAAGCTTAACTCCCTATCTCTAGAGGTGGTTTGTTAATGTTTGTATCATCTTTGCGATACGATACGTACAGTTTGCATGAAGGCTTATCTTCCTGATGACTGCACGAGTGGTGATGTTGAAAGATGTATCACTCACAGTGGCGCATCAACGTTATAAGTTGGCAGAGTTTGAAAGTTATTGAGGTCGTCTATTTGTGCGAGGGTGATGACAAATAAACATGAGCGGAATTTGTCACAGGACGGGAAAGGCGTGGGGTTGTTTTGCTGGTGATAGTGAAGTGCTGCTATTCTATAAGAAGTGTGTGGTTTAGTCAAGAGACTGATTTTGAGAGTTGAAGCATGTTTGGGAGTTTGTCGCAATTCAGAGAGGTTAGAGTAGGTTATGTTAGATTATGTTAAGTAATGTGGGGTTAGTGTGTATATAGTTATGGGTTAGGTTAGGATGTCATATACTGGATCTTTACGTCTGGGATGTGATTACATCAATCTTCCTTGATGTGCGAGTAGTACAGCATGTTGATTATCCAGAAGTGGTTGGGGGATGTGTAGTGGGAGTATGTGGTTTAAGTTGTTTTTCAGTCGAAGTGCTAGGTCACTGGGAGGTTTGTACATCTGGGGATTTCTCGATGCCTCTGTTCACATAGTGGTTAATAGGTCTCTGGGAGTTGGGCAACAGTTGTGGGGTTGCATCCTGGGGAGGGTTTGTAGTTTGACCTTGATGGTGGACATTGATACTAGCCTAAATTATACATGTTACATAAAGTACACATAATACATATAAACTACACATAATAATAATATGTATACATAAAGTACACATAATTATGTGTGTACAGACTTCCTGTCACGAACAGGAAAGGTTCCATTAGTACAGTCATGTTTGTTCTCAACTCACAATCAAGAATTCAGGGTTCAAATCCCAGGTGGGACTGAAATGGCATTTCCTATCACCTAATGCACTTGTTCACCTAGCAGTAAGTAGGTACTCAGGAGTTAGTCAGCTTGTTGTAGGGGTTACATCCTGGGCATGATCAGTAATATGACTTTGGGGGACCTCGATATAAACAACAGTCTAAAGTCTATAAGATACAAGACTAACATGTATGCTAACATGTATGTACACTGGCTGCCTGTATCCTGTCACATTGAATTATTATTATAACACTGGATATTATAACTTAATTAGGCCTAATGTTACATAAAAAGTCTGTTATTCTGTCCAAAACACTGCATGTTATTAGCTTGGTATGAATGTAATTTGCATATTTACATTGACACATTGTTACTTGTACATGTAAAGAATATAAAAACATCAGTGCTATCTTCTATCGTAAATCCAATGTACCTTTTTTTATATATAAATAAAAAAAATAAAAAATATAGAGGAGGGAGGGCAAATTCGAGGACCACAGAGAATAGAGGTGAGTGAGGGTGGGGAAGCAAGCACCACAGAGAGTGCTGGTGAGAGAGGGTGGGGAAGTGAGCACCACAATAAGTGGAAGTGAGCGAGGGTGGGGAAGCAAGCACCACAGAGAGTGATGGTGAGTGAGGGCTTGGAAGCGAGCACCACAACACTGCGCCTCTCCACTTCCCGGCCCGGCCCACCTTTCTCACTCAACAAACTGCATATATTATATCATATTAAGAGAAGAGTTCAGGAGCCTCATATTGCACTCATTTCCACCCTGAAATCATATAAATTATTCAGGTACTTGAAAGACATATTTTGTGGATACTTTCTCTATCACAACCCTTAAAACAAACCTACAAAATTCTCTAATCTTATCCAGTCGTCACCTTCATAATAACATTAACAAAACTTGTGTTATTCATAAAATATATCATAAGAACATATTAGAGTAGATTGTTTGCATGTGGGGATGTTGGATGTATAGTGTCACCATAATGAGTCACTATAATGTTTTACTATAATGTGTCATTATAATGCACCATTATAACACATCACCAAAATGCATCACTATAACATGTTACCATAATTTGTCACCATAATGCACCACTATAATGTGTCACCATAATGCACACTATAATGTGTTACCATAATGTACCACTATAATGTGTCACCATATTATGTCATTATAATGTGTCATTATAACGTGTCATCATAATGCATTACTATAACATGTCCCAATAATGCACCACTATAATGTGTCACTATAATGCACCACTATAATGTGTCACCATAATGCTACACTATAATGTGTCACCATAATGCACCAGTATAATGTGTCACCATAATGTGT